TTGACCTTTAATGCGCGGTGGCTTCACTCTACTTTGATCACTCTACTCTGATACGGAGCTTTTAAGTAAAATAACTTGAAAACAGTGATTTTTAAAAGCCACTTTATCAAAAAGATTCGGTGATGAAAGCAACTTTGTAGCTATGAATTGATTGAATTCACATAGATTTGAATAAATGAAGTTATGAATACATGAAAGATCAAATAAAACCCTACTCGTACTTGTACATGTAATATTTATTAGGCTTCAAACCGTCTTTGCTACATACATATTATAAACAGACTGAAATTTATTTTCATAGTAGGCCCTTATATTTCTATTAGCTTTGTTCATGGATGAAATGCATTTTTCCAAAAAAGACTTGTCAGTTGTTTGAGTACTAAACATTGTGTAGGCCTTATCTTTAATATAATTTCAGTCTATATTTGCATATAGGATCTCTCCCATCTGCACCCGTAACATTTCTGTCCTTTTATATTCGTTCATCAACACTAAACAATATTCCCATTAACTGAACGCAAAAGTCATACTTACTGTGGATCGATCTATCTCCAAATGGATGCTCGCTGAATTGCAGTCAAACGTATACAATATATCGTATCGGTAAAAAATATGTGTACATTTATACCATATACCAGTTGAATATTACACGCTAAATTTAGTGTTAAATTACAATAGACGAGTGAGACAATTACAGGGTAGGTAAACGCATATAGTATTTATAGAAAATAAATAAGAAAGAGAAAGAGGTAGGTAAACGATTGCCAGCGGAATATGTTGACTGGCATAATCCCCCAGTCGACTAGGTTGGCACTCCTCTTTGGAGTACTTATGTAAACGGCCTGTCTCTTGTGGCGAATTGTCTATTTGATCACTAGATTTTAGTTTCACGAGTTAGCTGCACGTTGGACCAGTGTCAGTTGTTATTTCATTTAATTTGCTGTGTCGCGTGGTCAACAATTGAAGGAAATATTATAGCTAGTCAACATATCACTTTTCCTCTTTTTTATGTCAAAGATAACTTTTGTAAATGTTACGCATATAGTATTTATAGAAAATAGATAAGAAAGAGGAAGGAAACTTGGCAGAAAATCCAACAACTTACAAAGTAAAGTAAAGTAAAACTTCAGAAAGTAAAAGTAACAACAGAAGCATATATATATGACCCTAGGCCTATCAGAAAGTTACTTGGTCTAAAGAAGCATATGCTTGGGTATATTTTTTAATCTTAAAAGCTAGTCTAATGTTGAGCCAGCCACAATGAACTTGTAAAGGGATAACAAACAGAATCCTACCCTCAATAAGGGGTACCGGAGGAGATCAACATTGGTCAGAACTGTGCCGGAAGGGTGATGCCAAGTGGTGTAAAACGCGAAGCTGTGTGGTCAGCTAAAAATTACAAGAACGCGTCTGGCATTTAATGGTATATTTCAAGATCTTCCCAAAAAGATAAGAGAATTCAGTTGAGCCGATCACAAAGCTGACAGGTAATTAAGACTAGCTCTGAGTTACTAATAATTGACATTATTATGCAATACTCAGTTGGAAAAGAGATTATGACAGGTAGATAAGATATAACATGACCAGTTTCTCAAGGCTATTGACTTCCAGCCTGAGGAAATTGATTGCCAGTCTATTTTGCTAGTGATTTTCAGCTCAGATAAGAGGCTGTCAGAATGTCACCTTTGCCTTGGCATTCGTCACTGATTAGTGGCTACCCCGGTGTAAAAAGTGTATTAATGTGATCATATGTGTGGAATTTCATGTCAGATGGACATATATAAAGATCTAAATATTCGTCAAATATTTAAAAATAGATACATCTTTGCACAGTACTGTAGTTGTGGATCGGTACGACTCACTTGTCAGTTACGAACTACTTCCTGGTTTTCACAAGGTCCCTCAAAGACCCTAAAACATCGTTATAATTGCAGCACATACCCAAAAACACCCAAAACTACTTAGAAATGGACATATCAGATTATGTCGGTTGACAGGACGAAGTGTCGCTTTTTCTTCAAAACAATCGTTTGAACTCGCAGGCTATGAGCTAAATAAATAAAGGGTTTATTGCTCCTCGCTTTCACCCTCTACGGTTGAATCACCAATGACTTTCCTAGCACTATATACCTGCCCTCTGATATCTGAGCCAAATTGAAATACGCACAAAATCACACTCTGTTTTTTTTTAAATTATTTATCTATCTTCTTTTAGTTTAATTTTATTATTATTAATTTATTTTTAATTTTTTTATTTATTTATTTATTTATTTATTTATTTATTTATTTATTATTTGTAACAGACTAGTGCACCCTGTGGTCAGAAAATATCAATAAGCCATGATTAAGGAAAGTGATTGCAGTAATCTTTTTCAACACTGGCCGTGTTCACAAAAGGCTGTTAATGTCACAGAGAGAAAGTTAAAAAAAAAAAAAAAAAAAAAAAAAAAAAAAAGAGAGAGAGAGAGAG